CTATATACTACATTTGAAAAAAGCTTCTCAATTAGATCAACACAACTAATTCAATATCATCCACCTGAGCTACAAATCTTCCTCACTGCTTCAAATGCTCTCATGTTTGCACATATCCAGTTTATGTGTGTTTGAAAAGAAGCGGTTGTCTTTCTTCCCATTATTCAACTGCACAGTCCTCTGGTCTGACCTCACCTCTTGAAGTTCTTCAAGCGTTCTTTTTGTTGATGTTTCTATTGGTTGAGATGAATTCACCGCATTATGACGTCACTTGATATATTTATTTTGGGCCAGTTTTTGCATTTCTGTTTCCTTACTACGTAACACCCTTAAAATTTTGTATTATGCAGGATTACTCACACTACCACTAAAAACACTGCATTAGACCTGACAGTGAAAAACAAAACAACAACCCTGAAATGTTATTTTATGATTGTTAAGAGTTGTTTCAACCTAAATTAACTGATCATTTTGGCAATAAACATTCTTTAATATCATTTCATAACTTCTTATATGACTATAGCTTTACTGTCACCATGCATAATCATATCGTAGCTTCCACTACCCAATACTGAGTTATTATTAAATGCTGTTTATTTTCCTTTCTACTTCTTGGTATTTTTTCGCATTTTTAAAAATTATATTGTGTATTTCTTGTTTTTTGCTGTTGGTGTCTTCATATTTATTTTTTTGAAATACTCCTTTTAAATGTTTGATAAAATTAGATGCAAATATTTGTAGATATGTGCTGAAAATTTCACACTGTACCACTAGTACTGTTTCTGGAATAAAGCAAATAATAATTATTATTATTAAAAAGTATCCTGACCATTTGCTTCTAGAACATTGATTGTGACCAGCCGTTCAAGGCTGCTTTTTGACAACATTGCTGTTTTTGACTCTGTTCCTAGGGCACTTTCACTAAGTGAGCTGATTTCAGCAAACGTTGAGTCCAGCTGGAATACAAGGTAGCCGGTTGTCTTATTATTTTTCGCGTAGAAAACAACATACTGTTTGCAATGGAAAGCGCTCAACTTCGTAGCTAACGGAAACTGGTGTGCCTGAAGGCGCTGCTGTACTCTTTTTTCTTTCTTTTTGCATGACGTTCCATATTCTTCCAAAGCTAACTTCGTTAAATATGCCGATGATCTAACCATTACTGTCTCAGTAGTTTTTGCGTTGGATTCTTGTCTGAAGTTAACAAATGGTCTCACCGAAATGGTCTTAAACTGAATCCATTCAAATGTCATTCTGTTTTTTTAATTTTAGTTTCACATTCGAACGAGACTTGTGTGGACTGCTTCAGTCTCAAGATTCCTGTAATATTGACGGCGCTGTGTGATTGGGAGTAAATGGAATATCTCTGATCTCGGCATCAGTTTCTCTTCGAAACTCTGCTGGTCGTCTCATATTCCTGTTGATTTCTAAGAAAATTTTTCATTTTAATATAGCGAAAATATTCATTCAGACATCTATAAAATACAAAATAATTGAGCAAAGAATATCCTTTTCGATAATTTCCTCTTCTGGCTCTACAATTATATACGTATATGTTTATATACACAGAATATTCTAGAATAGTACTCAATAACAATATTAGTGTTTTTTAAATAATATCGATTTGTAAAGTAAGATCACAATGGAATTACAGTTCATTAAAGATGCTTAAATTATAATAATAATAAAGATATAATAGCGAATAGAATATCAACTAAAATAAGGAAAATTCCACAAAAATTCAGGATCATTCAAACCTAGATGGCCAAGGTAACAATAATGTCTGAACTAGCTTCTTTTGGATACACAAATTAGGCTTGTTAATATGGATCCCCACAGCTTTAGCAATATTTTGTAGTCGAACTTTTAAGGCAAAACTGAGATTCGTAGGTATGCGGTAAACGACCCTGAAAGCATGGTTAATGTCAATCTTGTGTTCTGTATCCACAAGATGAGATAGAATAGCGTTACGAATAGATTTTGTTTGTCCTATACTTAACGACGTAGGGTGATGTTTGGAAATCCGACGAAAAACACACCTAATTGTACGGATTTGAGATTTTCTGGAATAACTCAACCTCACTTCTTCTCTTACAGTTTATCAATTCATATATATTCTACTGATTCTTCTCTATTGTTCGCCCCATCTATTCTTCCCTGGGCTTCTCATAAGAGACTATGTCTTATTATGCAGAACACTGAAGGCTGGAAGTAGGCAGGGTTAGTGGTGTGTGTACCTTTGACTCAAACAACAGATACTGCTGACAATTGGCATTTCAGTTTTTGGAAGCATTTGGCTAAACTTATTTGTCAGATACCATAAATCCTCTTTATTCGCTACTTTATCTTCGGGTAAAACCAGAAGAAACTTGATAAGAATTTACGCTCGTACAGCTGCTTATTATAAAAATTCTACCCTACCACCATATTTAGCATGGGTTTTGTGTGTAGAGATAGTCAGATATCAGTTCTCAGTTACTTACCGCGTTCCTTGTAATTTATCTAGAGGTGCTTGACTACGTCTTCTATCAGTAGCTCAAGCGGTTACAGTCAATACCATAAGACCAACTCTTTGTATACAGAAGAAGTATGTTCAACCTCTATGTTCCCCGTGGCCTACAATAAGACCAACAAATCTTCCATAGACATTAGCGCTTTAAATTCAGATCACAGTTTTTTCTTTTCTTCTTCTTCTATTCCTTTGTTTCATTGACAAACGTTCATTTTCGGCTTTTATTTTTTTTTTTTTTGATTTACAGCTTGATTCCACACCGTATTTTCAGTACAAGTGTGGAATTTTCAGCATAGATATCGGTTGCCCAAATTCAGGCATACCATAGATATCGAGTGTGCGCCGGCAGGGGCTCGAACCCCGGACCATGTGCATGGTCGGCGAGAGTCCTAACCACTGTGCCACCGACGCACACAAGCTTTCTTATGATTTCTGTTACCTTAGGTTTAAGTAGTGCTTTTCTAACTTGTTATCGTATTTAAAAAATCCTGTTCATTCCACTTCACTAAATTCATTATTATAATTATTATTTGACAATCATTCACGAGTAGTACTTTTAATTTTACAACCCATCATCGTTATTATTTTACATTCATTATTATTTTTACGAGTTGATCACGGATTGATTTCAGTTAAAGAACCACTTAAAAACCAACAATGGAATACTGGACAGCTGTTTCATCCTAGTTTTGGCAATCATCAGCAGTACGCACTCACTGAGTGGGTTTCTAACCCAGGACCTTCCGGTTACAAGGCGAGCTCGTATACCATTCAGCCACTGGGACCCGATCCAGTGACCAACCCATGAATTATAACTTCTACCAATTCGTGATTTAACGCGACCGGCACCAACCAATGTCATCGGTGGGAAATTTATCCTCACACTTGACTGGTTGGACCTCACTGGTCACAACTTCTCACTAGAACTGCTCCATGAAATTCCATCATGTACTAATTGACTAGAGAACATCAGATTAATTTTCTATACTTGGTTTGTAAGGATTAGTTTTGTTTTTACGAGTTGATCACAGATTGATATCAGCTAGAGAACCATTGAAAATCAGTACTGGAGTACTGGACAGTTTGGGAATCATTGGCCATACGCACTTACTGCAGAGGTTCGAACCCAGGACCTTCCGATTATAAGGCAAACTGGTATACTACTCAGACATTGGGACCTGATTCAATGACTCATGAATTCGTTATTTTGAACTTTGAACTTATGTCTAGTCCGCCCCATTTACTGGTTCATTTTCATATTGTCTCACACACCCTGTCTGCACTCACTCTTGAAACCTGACTATTACATCTCATTTCACCTCATGTTCTCATTGACCGCGCATATTAAAAAAAACTAACTGACTATTGTTCCATCCCATTTTACTTGGACTTGTTCCACAATACAAATCCTGATATGATTCCAATTCGCCTTTACTGGCTGGCTGGCTGGCTATTGTATGCTTAAATTAATGGATATATAAACACCATGAATTTTTATTTGTAAAGTTATGTATATTAGAGTTAAGCCTGATGAGATCTAATTGAAACCACAATATTGTTCGCTTAAATGTGTTGTTCTACTTATAAGTAGCTAAAATAATTCACCCCAACCAGTCAGGAAGTCTTCACCTTCCTATGTGGCTGGCTTAAACTAACTGTTGTGGATTTCATTGAATGATGAAGCCATGTTTTCGTTTGACCACCACTAGCTCTTTTCCAACATGACCCTGTGTCAGCTATCATTTCCCGTCGAGGAAGGCTATGGCTGGGCATACGTGACACATTTCCTAACCATCTCAGTCGATGCAACTGCTTCAAACCGTCGTTGATTAATTTTCCCTCCCCGCCTAACACTCGACGCCAACCTCGATATTGCTCACCCTATTATACCACTTCACACGGGAAATAGAACGCAGTCACCTATGATCAAAGACATCTAGCCAGCCTTTTCATGTCTTCCTTTCTAAGTGGCCAAGTCTCACAGCCATAAAGGAGGACGGAGAGGACTGCTGAGTAATACACACGTCCTTTGGTTGATAGCCGGATATCACGTCTACGCCAGAGATGGTGTAAACTGGCATATGCGAAACGAGCCTTCTGTATCCGTGCTGAGATTTCGTCAGCGATCAACCCGTTGGCGTGGGCTGATGCTCTACGACTTCACTGCCTATTTCTAAGCTAGGAGTAGTCAATGTAGTCCAGTTCTGTAGCATCATCTTACATTTGACAGCAGGAGCGAATCGCATGCTAAACATTCGTAGATTGCAGCTCCACAAGGTGTTCAGAACTCGGTTATTTTACTGATTTATTTTTCGGACACATGTATCGACCCACAAGAAACACCTCCAACTATGCATAATATTTTCGCGATAGACACTCAACAATCATAAAGATACATGTGACATGTATTACGTAACAAGGATATAGCAAAAAAAGCAATCAAGTATATGTATTTAGGTATATATATCTGTATTTATCTATATAATGATTGGAAGGCTTTGCGTGTATAGTTAGTTATCTCGTCAGCTGAATTCACAAGGTTAGTTACACATTCAATCATTTTCATGATTCTGTCCAGTCGGTGGAGTAGGAAGCCATGGACTTGGCAGGAGATTACAACTGTTATCAGTAGTAGTAGTATTAGTAGTATTATTATGAGTAGTAGCTGTAGTACTATTTGTATTATTATTCATTTGCATATTTAACAATCTGTCACAGAAGGATGTTGACTGAGGTAATTCTGAACAACATGTAGTTGTTGAGAAACGAGCATCTGCTTTATTATTATGATTGTTATTATTATTATTACTATTATTATTATTATAAGATTAATGAGACAATTATCGTGCTGTTGACTTGATTTACGCAGTTGTATCTCCGACTTTCTTAACACAGGATACACTGAATTGGCCATATGTCGACTGGAGTGTGTACCAGCTAATTTAGAGATAATTAAAAAATAAACGGAATAATGGGGAGGGAGGGAAAAGGGGAAATAAAGTGATTAGATATGCGTATATATATAAATAAATTAGTAACAATTTGAAAAAATTTGGGCATTTGGTATATGATATTCATTATAATAAAGGATTTTGTATTTCCCAATGAATGAAAAACAAAATGATATTGTTTTTACTGACGTTTCCCTATTTAATGCTGATAGCTTTATCAAAGCTATATAGGGCGAACAACTAGACAGCTGAACAAACGCATTAATGAGCATCTTCCTTCATGGTTCGGAAAAGGTCAAATAAAATCCATACGAAGTTCTATTTTGGCTCATTTGATTGATAGCGGTCACCAAGTGGACAAAAATAGTGCTTTCAAAGTTATCTGTCGTATTCCATCGAGTCTTACGAACGGAATCAGAACCCGTCTTTTACACCTAGCCGAAGCTATGAAAATTCGAGAGAACAATGCTAGTCTTTGCATACAAAAGAAGTTTGTTCTATCTTTGTCTCTCCCTTGCTTCGCCTAGGTGAACTGTATTCAAAACCCTCCCACCCTTTCTTATTTTCCATCTCCTTCGTATTTCTATGATATTTATTTAAACTCTGATTATCGTTCCACTTCACCTTTTAAGATTTGACCCAATTTATTAATACACTTATATACATATACTATCTTTGTTATTCTTATGGCCACCTGCATAAACCTTATTATCAATATTTTGTTATCATTATAATCATCGTTATTAACTATGTTCAAAACATTTACCACATTATTATTATTATTATTAAGACCATTAAGATTATTATTTGATTCCCAAAATCACCGTCATTGGTTAAAATTTTATATATAAATCTATGTAAATTAGAGTAAAGCCTGAAGAAGATCTAATTGAAAACAATATTGTTCGCTTATATGTCTTGTTCTAAAGTATTATTAAACCGGAATTTACACAATCTCAGCATATATATAACAAAGAGTTAAGGGTGAGAAAATAGACTACTTAGGTCAAGTTAAAAGGACATATTGAAAGTCAAAATAACAATGAAGATAACTAAACCAAATAACAAAGGTAATAGTACATTTGTTTTCGTATCAAAACAAAGTTTACTAGCTTGATCATCGTTCGTTAGACTGGAGTCATTTTTCGTTGTCAAGTTGGTCAACTGGTAGAGATAACAAAAACCAGATAGGTGTAGATTGTTGGATATCACATTCATGTTGATTTTGTCACCTCCCTCCCCCATGAAGTGACAAAATCAACATGAATGTGATATCCAACAATCTACACCTATCTGGTTTTTGTTATCTCTACCAGTTGACCAACTTGACAACGAAAAATGATCCCAGTCTAACGAACGATGATCAAGCTAGTAAACTTTGTTTTGATACAAAAACAAATGTACTATTACCTTTGTTATTTGGTTTAGTTATCTTCATTGTTATTTTGACTTTCAATATGTCCTTTTAACTTGACCTAAGTAGTCTATTTTCTCACCTCTTAACTCTTTGTTATATATATGCTGAGATTTTGTAGATTCCAGTTCAATAATACTTTGATAAAGCTATCAGCATTAAATAGCGAAACGTCAGTAAAAACAATATCGTTTTGTTTTTCATTCATTCATTGGGAAATACAAAAACCTTTATTATAAATTAGTAACAAGTTAAACGGAAGTAACTGTATATTAACTCCCTAGAATACTTGATTTTTATATCAATCACTACAGTCTACTGATTTTAGTTTATTTTCTTTAGTTTGTATTAGATCTATTATTTCCTTGAGTTCCAAATCGAACAAAGGGCTCCGAGAACACATCTCCACTCTTTATCTGTGCCCACGATTGCCCATAGTCTCTCATATCATCCTTGCTGGACTTATTCCAAGTCACCATCACATCGACAACACACTCGTCATTTCCCATTGGGATTCCACTCGAGTGATAGCTTCGCGTCCTCACAGTTTGTCCAATCGGTATCCACTTTCCTCTGCATATTTGTTGAGCAGTCGGCTCTTGGTTGATTTGTTACCGGACATTTGATATTCAGTATGGAGCCGGCGAAGACAGTCGTTCATAAAAGTCTGTAACAAACTGCTGGAAATGGTTATCGTGACGCGAGAGGCAAGTTGCTGACGTTTATAAAAGAAATGACTGACTGACTTCACATTCTTTTTCCTTTACGTTCCCAGTGGAACACAGGTCGCGTTCAGGCTAGAGGCTTGAAGTTTCTGTAGCAATTGTATTGATTTGTACTGGATAGGGTTGTTAGTCTCGTGCCCAACCTTCCCTGTTTAGCAGTCTTACTACTGGCTTGACGAGGTAAAGGAGTGCGTCAGCCGGGGATCGAATGTGGGACCACCTGCTTGGTTGGCGAGCATTCTACCGCTGTGCCACCGACTTCACATTAGTGTTGAAAATCCGAATCTTGTTTTTTATGCTGACTAAGTGCAGTGGAGAAGATTCCCAAGCTGGTTTCAGATTGATGAAGGTTTATCTTACCTTCCGGCTGGCTGGCTCTGACATCTTTATCCGTTCTGCCTGCTTTAGTTGAAATTATGCTTCCTAGATAAGTGAAGGCAGGAAGTAACCTCCGTTGAACTTCTGCCTTTGGTAGTGATTAGCACTGGTTTTTGTTGCTGTTGGCTGGTTGGTTGGTTATCTTCCTCACCCCTCATCTTACCTAATGTTTACCTGCAGTCTTGTCTTCGCTGCCTGCCTCGCCTCATCAGCCAGTTTTTCGGTTTTCGCCTGCAAGTCTTTGAGGATGTGTGAGTGACATTAAACATAAATCATCCACGCGCGAAATCCAGATCTTCTAGTCTTTGGATTGGTCCAGAGTATTCCTCTCTTCTCACTCCCTACAGTCTGATGCGTAATCCAGTTTATAATAGCTCACAACTAATATTTTACCTGGTGAACTTTAAACGTTTACTGGCTAAATTGTTTCTCCCCTGTTAAAGTCTCTGACTGCAGAACTCGACAGACAACACTGAATTCAAGCGCCTCTTGATAAACGTTTGTGATTAGCAATTACAGGGACATTATCTACCTTCGATCACAAAGAACGTACACACGCTTGTAGGACTGTTTTCAGTAACAAATCAAAATCTGCTGCAGACTGGTGTTTCTATATTGAGATGCAGCAAAGCTAAAGCCTCTAAAAGTCGATGTGAAAACGAAAGAAGTGGGGATGCTCTCTGTTAAATGCTTCCATACCAGGATGAAACAGCTTCCCGTTACTCATTGGTTTTCACTGATTGTTTAAATGATGTAAATCGATGATACTACTCAAAACCAGAAAATACTAAACAGCTGTTTCGCCCAAGTTTGGGCCTCTTCATCGGCAAATGAATTTCTTGGAAATCTAATGAAAAACCATGATACATTTGATCTAACATGTCAGTAGCATTGAATAATGGTAGCGTTATATAGCCCATTGATCCTGGAGTTTTAAATCACTTCATTGACGTGATCGTCCAGTGTGTGATCCTAAATGATGTCATGGGTACATACTGTTGAAGGTCCTCAAACTAAAATCAAACAGTTGCAGAGTACTCCACAGTTTTTATGAGTACACGTAAGCGTGTGGTGAGAGCTGACTGCTAGCCAAAAGTGTATACAATAATTTACGTCAATGTTGTGTTACAAATCGGGGTCGTGAGAAAAACAATAACAAAGATAAAACCTTGAGGAAGTCATCAATAAATCACAGCAGACTTAACATGTGCAAATGGGATTTGCAGATATATGGCTTAACTTTCTGGGAAACGGTCAAAAAGAGATAACAGAATAAATAACCTTCAGCAGGAAAGCAACCAATCAGAAGACGTTGTTTCTGCACTAACAGTAATGTATATGAAATCTATAAATACTTCTTGAATTTCCTAATAAACTATCTACTGCCTGGTCGTTGTCTTCTGTCGTTAGAAGCTTAAATCGTCAAATAAATTCTAAGCATTAGGTTTTTTCGAAAGTTCTACGGTACGGATGAATACAACTTCACTGAGGGAATTTCTCAACAATACTTTGAATGATTTCGCTTCGTAATACAATCTTCGAGAAAGTAAAGTTAAAACTTGTCATTGAACATCTGGTCGATAATGATCACCCTATCTCTATAGTCTCCGCCTTTAAAGTCATCTACAAGGCAAAGAGTAATTTACCCAAATTCCTACGTACCCAACTCATCTGTATTGCTGAAGCGATGGCTATCGAAACAGAAAAGCCAGTTCTCAGTGTACAGAAAAAGTTCGTTCAACCCCTACAACTTTCATGGTCTTAATCCCTCTATGCTAAAGTATGGTAATCCCCAATCATATTTTAGCTCTACTAATTTTTCTTTTTTTCATTTTTCCATTTTTGTCTATTCAATTTGTATACTCTTCCTTATTAAGTCAATTGTTACTATTCCTACTCTCACTTTTAATTGTTCCCGGTATTATTTCACATGTTCCATTTGTCATTCTAAGTCAATTCCTTTTTACAACATTAAATTCTATGCTATTAAATTTCACACAATATTACGTAACGTTTTTATTCTATTCGATGTGTCTACTAATCTTATAATTGCACACCTTTTTCAAGTTCTATCCATCCTATGAATTATTCTATATATGACATTAAATGTTTTGCCACTTGACATTTAACTATGATTATAGTCACAAACATTTTAGTTTCAATTGCATTTCATATTATTTTTATTATTATTTTATGCATTCACACCTATGATTCAATTCCCTCACCGGATATAACTTCTTAAAAACCATATATATACGATTGTACAGCTTGATGATAAATTCGTTGAAAAGAGTCTCTTCGCTGAATCATTTGTTTTGATTTTCTTTATGTTACAATGGGAATTTTCCATGAGTTAAGAAACTTGTCTTAACATGAAACTGGAAAACAGTTATTGAGCATGTATACATCTTCATTGTGAATGACGCTCAAGCAGTCTATAGGGGAAAATTTTTAACTTTATTTTCAGAAAAACTTTCATAATAAATTCTACGTAGTCATTTTTATTTTCTGAAAAATTTTCGTAGCCTATTTTCACCTCTTTGTTCTCTTCTCTTTCTAAATGACTACTTACTGAATAAAGTATAATTATATTTCAATAGTTTACACATAATGATAAGTTTTGTTATTGGTAATATTTCGAGCAAAATTACTGCCCGTGTTCACACCACTGTTGGAATTGTTTGTAGAGTCTACTTGAGAGAGACACTATTTATCGCTTTAATGGATTAGTTTTCAACTCTCTCGATTACGTAAGATTGTTCACATATTGTTACTTCTCATACATTTTGACTTATTCACTTACTATTTTCCAAGAGAATCTACGCAAAAGGAGATATCTCTTTGTTGAAGTCCGTTTTGTTTTTCCCGTAGACTGATCCGACAGAAATGTCAGGTCACTTATTTCTTTAACAAGTAACAATTGATACCTATTGTGTGACAGGTGACTCTCATGGCGCAAATGGTCTATTGGATAGCGCTTTGGAGATTAAAGCAATGGGTGCTTGGTTCGAGTCTCACTGTGAGCAACACCATCACTCACTCAAGGATTTCAGGGTCCTGAATTCCACTGACAGTCACCACCTACCCCACATAAGAGATCTTACATCATTATGTATCTGAAGTTAAAAAGTCAAAAATCGATTCTTAAAAAAGAGAACGGAACTTGAACCCAACGCACCGTTGTTATGCAGTGTATCTGTTGATCTCTTGTCTCCAGTGATTGATTTCACCTTAAATCCGTCATCAGCATCATCCCCGTCATTATCTTCAATTTCTGATGATATATTCGATGCATCTATAACAGCTGCACGTCTTGATCGAATTCCATATGGATTTCTACACTGTTCCGGTATATGCATATCATTGGGAGTAGAAATTTTGCGTTTATTTTCATAATTTTCATTTAACAATGGGAAATCACTACTATCTATAAAAAGTAGAATAATAATATCGAAGAAAAAAATTAAAAATAATAATTAGTCTACTTAATATTTAATACAGTAGTATACTGATTTTATCAGCATTTGTGTTAGGTTTGAAAAGAGAATATTTTGTGCAAATTCGAACTGGCCTGATTGACTCATATTTTGTTGATGGTAACTGGCTAGGAAACTCAGGATAAGTGTTTTCTCATATTTCGGACTCACTGAATGGATTTACATGCTCCTCACTGAGTGGGTGTGTTGTCACTGAGACTGGTGGAGTATAGTCAATCAGATTGGGAACGAGAATTTAGCTTGAAAGGCATTTTTATATGATCTAGTCACATTCGCACGATACTCTGATACAGAAAAATTTGGATTTTACATTGTTTTTCTTGTCAAATACATCAAAATCTTGAGAATATTCATCTAACGACATGTCGCAGGTACACATTAAAGGAATCACTTAAAGCAGATATCTAATTAGGGGGTCCTTATAATGATTTCGAAATACCAACAACCTTATAGTTCCATCATCCCAACTAGTTACCAAAATATCAAAGTCTCAAGTGACTGAGAGATATTCAGGCATAGGTCTTGAAGCAACGAAACAAATTTACCGCCTTATATAAAGAAAATAAACTTTAGGTACCACTAATTACCAATGGAGTGCGTTCACACCATTGACCTTGAATGGCCCATTGAGTTTTATTCACAGGAGTCGAAGCTTCTATTCCGCTTGATTCGAGTTAAATGCCTGCTGTAATACAGTTGCACTCGCTGATGATTCTATTATCTCTTGAGAACATTTTTTGACAGATCCCATCTTTCCTTAGTCCAGATTTTGTATATTTGTAATCACTGGGTTTTAAAACAGCCTGTGAGAAGTGTAGCTGCTGAAACTGAAAATAGCTTCGTGTCAACAGTTCAGTGGTACCAGCACTGCAGGGATATTGCATCCTGGAAAATGTAGAGACTTACTTCCTTATCGGGAGGAGAAGGTGTCATCGTAAATGAAGATGAAACTGTCTTATTAAAGAGAAAATACAACCGTGGTCAAGAACGAGCGAATAATATTTGGATGAATTGTTTATATGAGGCCTCTCCACAGAAAGAATTCATCGAGAGGATACAGATAAAAGTCAAGTACTTTAATACCTATTATTACTCGACTGGTGAAACAAGGATTTATAATACACACAGATGAGTGGAATGGTTATAGCTCCTCGTCATTCCTTGGGTATATTCACCACAGAGTCAAAAGATCTGATGATTTCGTGGATCCCATTACAAGGACACACACCAGTTCTATCGATGGATTTAGGGAAGTTTAAAAAACAGGATTAGAACCACTGATGGGTCACAAAGCGACGCCACTGATAGTCATTTAGATGTGGTGTAACGTTTCCAGTGATGCTCCATGCTAAACTGGGAGATCTTTTTATCACATGTGAGAGAAGGGTGTCCTCTGTAACAGTTTATATGCATTTTTCATAAATACATGTATTCCATATCCAAAAATGCCCCCCATGGGACTGGTGCGTTCAAGGTCACTTGCTGATTAGTAGTTAGTGGTGCTTAAAGTTTAACTTTGCCGATTACAGGATGACACCTGTTACAGAACTGTTGGAAAGCCACCACTGAGTACTTGAGATCTGCTTCGTCATTAGGACTCCAGGTAGCCATTGGTATAGATTCAGTCGCTAGTGGGCATTGGATTAATTCAGGTGAGTGGGTACTAGGAAGAAAAAGCTGTCGAGTACTCCCTGGTGATTTTCCAGTAAAGTTCATCTCATTCTCAGACCAATAACCAGTCACATCCCTGCGAACCAATAGTTGAAGAGAGTTTATTATTTTCAATCATGATAGTTGTAATATATTGTAATAATATTATATATTATATATATATATATCATTATATATTGTAATAATATTATCTAGGAGAATTTACTAGGTGGTCTCATTTTGCTGCTTGAATGTCTTATTTAAATTCAACCAAATGGAGTCAGACTCTTTATATTCGAGATTTTTGCACCAGGTGTATTCATGACCTTCATAGATATAAGTATCAGTGGGAGTGATTCGCGAAGTTAGACACCTGGGCTAATTACTCTGGAAAGATAATGGTGTCAAGTATTGCTCCCCACATTTCATGAAGCGACTTACTTGACCAAATAACCGGGTATATGCCTCTCTCTAGTACTGGGTCCAAGATCCCCTGGAAACAACATTACTCACTAAGGTCACACTACATTAAGCTGATGAATCCCGAATAAGACGAAAAACACACTTCATGGTTTCCACTGCTAGTCACCATTAAACTTTAATTATGGCAAAAATCATAAAAAGAGATCAAAACACTGAATGACTTCCTAGTGGGTGATTTTGTTTCTAATTACATTCTCATTCATGCATTTTTTTTCAGCTGGTGGTTAAGCAGCGCATTGAATCAATGAACTCATCATTTATTCCTGCTTTGGTACATTTACTCACAGTTCCTAAAACATATTTAGCTGGTGATCGCCAGTTCTTTGCGTTCCAAGTGAAACATACGGTCTTCGAGATTGAAGTTTTGAGGTTTCATTATCAGTGTTGTTGTTTTTGTGGGATGTAGTTGCTAGCCTTCCTTCAGCTGAGGTATTTTGGGAGTGCGACGGTTGGGATTCAAATCCAGACCGTGTGCAGGGCTGTTGAGCATTGACAGTCATGTAACAATGGCCAAGGTAAGGAAATTGTCTGCAGTAATTTCTTCTGAACATACAATTTTAGCTCATTCAGGTGAGTTCCTATGGCTTTAGCTGTATATATAGGAGACGAACTCGGAATGTGGCAAATAACTTTAGATGCTGTGTTAACACCAACTTCATGGTGGGCTATAACAGAGCTATGAACAGATCTTATTTCTCTCTTGTTTAACAATGCAGCATAATGTTCGGGAATACGATGATGTTCCTGTGTAACTGAACGCCTAATCTAACTAGATCAGTAGGAGAGGTCTAGGTGGTGGAAATACCTAGATAAGGCAAATTAGGTAATTTCCCCTTATTCAAAATGTTATATATATTAGATTAGGGCTAGAGATGAAAGGTTTCTTCACCCTGTTATTTCGTCTTCCAAATCTCTGAATGGGGATTCATTCTAATACTGAGGTAGTGATAAGGGGGAACAGTAAAATAATGGAAGGAGTGGAATTAAACGCAGGTGTAAATCACAGAATTTGTGCACTCTGTAGTGATCTATTAGATGGTTCGAAGCAATCGGCCACAGGAAGCCCTCGGCTCAGGTTTCGTGCTAGTTGGCACTCACCTACCAGGAAGGCGTATCTGTAACCCTGATGGAACTCATGTCTTTTCTGAGATTTGAACCCGCGCCATCCAGTGCTGCCTGTAGTCGGAGACGTTACTACTGAGTTATTTTGGCTCACAATAGTTACTGGCTAGTGTCCAACCAAAAGATATCCTACGCAGTCTTACAGGTCAGTCGCGAGTCTGAAGTGCTCAGTGGTAATGCCTCTAACTGCAGGTGGGTACAAATCTCAGAATGGATACGAGTTCCTTCAAGGTTGCTGACTGGTGAGTACCAACTAGCACGAAACCTAGGTCGAGCAATGCTTTCTGTGGCCGATTGCCTCCAACCATCTAATATCATCAAATCAATGTGCAGCATGATGTCAATGCTACCTAGAATGGTGGCCACATTGCAAACCTGACTGATGGAATTCAGTCTACACCAAAGAAAGGAGTAGACATATCACACCAGTTACTGACTAGTGTCCAGTCAAAGTATCCTGTAGTCATCTGCTTGACAAATTAGATTTCAAGAGTTGGTTTGTAAGGATTAGATTTGTTTTTACGAGTTTGACCACGCATTGATATCAGTTAGAGAACCATTGAAACCCAGGGAGTACTGGACAGCCGATTCGTCCTGGAGTTCGAACCCAGGACCTTCCGGTTACAAGGCTAGCAAGCTCGTATACCATTCAGCCACTGGGACCCGACTCCTCAGTGGCCAGTCCATGAATTCTAACTTCTACCAATTCATGATTTAGCGCGACTGGCACCAATCAATGTCATCGTCACGAAATCCGTCCTCACACTTGATTGGTTGGACCTTACTGGTCACGATTTCTCACGAGAATTGCCCCATGAAACTCCGTCTTGTAGCAAGTCGTACTGCCGAGGATTCCCAAACTAGGCTGATGGAACAACTGTCCAGTACTCCAGTGCTGGTTTTCAATGGTTCTCTAACTGATATCAATCCGTGGTCAAACTCGTAAAAACATTAGATTTCGTTATAGAAAAAAGGCATTTGAACGGAAGCCAAATCACTTAAATGTATACTTATAACCATTTCAGGAAAACATCAGCTACTGTCTGCTTACCTGCATATTTCGATTTCATAATTGGTTGGGCAATATGCGGAACAATCCCCTTGGCTAAATTATTCAAACCAATTGAATCATTCAGATGACCACCGCTTAAATGATGATGATGACCGCTTCCATGTCCACTCATAAAATTTGATTTATGCTTTGGGCGAATAGCTTCTACAGGCAGGATACGTCTTCGTTTCTTCGGGAGTTTTGAACGAGCCAGTGTATGCGAATAGAACATTGAGAAATTTGAGACAATGACAGGAACTGGTAGAGAAATTGTCAGTACACCAGTTACTGCACACATTGCACCAACAATCATTCCTATAGAGAGGCACATTAGGAAATAAATTACATGGGTGAGAAGTTTTTCATAAATTGTAAACATCTACAGAATGACAGAAATTAATTTAATTGGTGAATTTTGAGCTCATCATCAGCTATTAGTACCCTGATTGATTTGAATACTATTGATTTTCAAAGAAAGCCATGATGACTGCTCACCTTGTGCATCGTGTAAGGTGTAAATGACGAATTTCCTTCCTATTTTTACTCTTCCAGTAGAATTACAGGTCTTGCCTTTTCATTCACTAATCACGCTGACAAATAACTTCTTAGGATCATACAGATAGATGTGTACATATTAGATAGTTGGAGACAGTCGGCCACAGGAAGCCTTGACTAGACCTAGGTTTCGTGCTAGTTGGCAATCACCAATCAGTGAGGCGTATCTGCAACCTTGAAGGAACTCATATCCCTTCTGAGGGGATTCAAACCCGCCTCATCACTACCCACTACAGTCCTACAGGAGGTTAGTCGCGAGCCCGAACAGCTAGCTCAGTGGTAACGTCTCTGACTGCAGGCAGGTTCGAATCTCAGAGGCGACATGAGTTCCTTCAGGGTTGCAGACACGCCTTCCTGATAGGTGAGTGCCAACTAGCACGAAACTTAGGTCTAGTCAAGGCTTCCTGTGACCGATTGCCTACAACCATGTAATATCATCAAATCAATGTACACCGTGGTGGGGAGCTACCTAGAATGATGGCCACAGTGCAAACCACAATGATAGAATTCAGTCTACACCAAAGAAAGGACTAGACACGTCACAATAGTTACTAGTGTCCAATGAAACATGCGCATATTTTATTTATTGGAAAACAATGGATTTCTCAAGACTTAAGCCATCGATTCTGAATAGATAAAGTAACTCCAACTTTTAGTGAATGGTAACTGTATATTATGGCCTGACTAATTCATCCTCTTAAGACATCATACAGGAAGCCAACTGGAATTCTAATGAGAGATTGCGACAACCAGGGCCTACCTAATTAGGTAAGAGGACAGTTACTCTCCTGTGAAATTGTCTGGTAGTTGCGCTATATATGATGAATTGGTGGAAGTTAGAATTCATTAGCCACCTGGTCGGATCGGGTCTCAGTGCCTGAGTGGTCTACGAGCTTTGTAACGGTCCTATCATCTCATGAACAAACCTGTGATATTAAAGAGTTCCCTTCAGTAGTTATTATGTTAGGGGAAGAGGACTGCGGTTTTATGCATAAATGTCACAGCATTATATACCTCTAGCTAGCAAAAGAGACCATGGAGCAGTTACTACTCAGCAACGACGAACACCTCCCACAACAATCAAAAATGCAACATACAAGTTGGACAGAATGCATAAACCTGTGCCTAACAACGTACTCTCAATTCAATGGCCAAATATATAAACAAGTTAGAGGAACGCCCATTGGATCGCCAATATCAGGTTTGATTGTGGAAGCAGTGATGTAAAGGCTGGAAAACATAATTCTACCAAAGATGAAACCCAAAATTCGGATACGTAACGTAGATGACACATTTGTAATAATCAAAAGAAACGAGTTGGATAAAACTCGCGACTTAATAAACAATATCTTCAACGACATCAAATTCACACTAGAAGAGGAATCCGAAAGCAAAATACCATTTACCAACGTCTTAGTCAAGCGAACAGCCAGAGGAAAACTGGAAACTCGAGTTTATAGAAATTCAATTACACAGACCAAATACTGAATTACAATAGCAACAATCCAATAAGACACAAAAGGAATTGTATACAAACGCTATTCAAGAGGGCCAGGACTCATTGCAGCACTCCCACCTCAAGGTAAACTGAAGAGAGATGTCTCATGGACGTCTTCCAAAAGAATGGATATTCACGAAATTTCATCAAAAGACATATACCCCCAAGCCAACCTATCAAACCAAAAGCCCCCAAGGAAAGCACAAAGAAAATCGCCCTACCATTTATAAAGGACATCTCGTAAATCACAGTAAGACTCTTCAAACCTTTGGAAATTGACGTCGCACACGAACCAAAAAAATCACTTCACTCAGTTCTATGTCAACCAAAAGACTCAACAACGAAAGAAGATGAAACTAATATCATCTGTAAAATAAATTGTAACAACTGCGAAAAACACAACATTGGCCAAATTTGACGTCCGCTTCGTCCTCTTCGCATACATGAACATAAACTAGCCGTCAAAAGATATGACATCCACTCCCTCATATCTCCTCACTGCATACAGACAACTATGGACATCAATTCAACTGGGACAACGTTCAAATATTAGACAGAGGAAACACCAAAAATGCTAGATAATTTTTAGAAGCCTGGTATTCCAGTGAATCGTCAACCAATAGACACATCACGACAGACACAATTTACCAACCGATAAGAAGGAAACCTCACACACAAAGGGTAAAAGTTGAAGTCAAGGAAATAATCAGTTCCACCAGGAGAGCTGACTAACAAACTCGTGGAGAAATCCAAAAGTTCACTTCAAATTGAAGTGTATGCGCTGAAGGAAGATGTTGCCTAGTAGGTCAATGAAAGCTTCGCAAATAAACCATCCAGCTCAGAGAACACAACCACATGAAAATCATCCACCTCAGTTAGAAATCTTATCCATCATATCTAGATGCATATACCCGTTTACTAGGTGGGTCTTTGGAATTCGGCGGTTGGGGTTTCATGGTATAAATTCAGAGTTCTGTATGAAGCCGACATCAGATGGACAAACGTTGGGATTCTAGGTGTTCTTAGGCAAGAAATTCAACAAGTAATCATCTGACCACTCGATTAGTATGTTCACATAATGTTTATGAGAAAAAAAGATGTTACGATCACCGTTACCAGGAAAGACTTTCAATATGGTTATTGAAAAGAGGAGGAATTACACGAAGTGATAGCTCACTTCTAGAGGGTCCTGTTCGTACACATCATTTTGCACCAGTAGAGTTGAGTGTATTATTATGTGGTGAATAATTTAGAATTTGAAACCTTAGTGACTCTGGGCTTTTATTCATTTTCTGCTTTTAACCTATTTGTAAAGAATGTCTTCCATGAGTGGCGTTGCTAGCCTCATCTGGTCTGACCTTTCTACTTTTGCCAGGCTCATTACTGACTATTGAACTAGGCGAGGTTAAGGAGTGCATCAGCTAGGAATCAAACCCGGACCAGTAACGTGAAAATAACCGTCGACATAGCTGTATGACACGGTAAAATCGCTCCTAAAGTACGAACTTATTCTACAGGCATAACTTAGAGACAGCTAAAACAGAATATAACGAACAAAACGCAACGGAAATTACGATAGTTGATGTGAAAAACCAAATATTCATCACTAGTTGTTTGGTCTTTAGGGAAATTCGTCTGCTCTCTCACCTCCAAAAAAACACCCCCGTAAAAATACGAAAACAGACAACAATGTTGCTTTCTGTGGTAACATCTAAACAAACGATGTTTTGCACAATTGATCAGTAAGCAGTTTTCGTTACATTGAATTCTGTTTTTCGTGAGAATGAAAACTCTTCGTGTATAAACTGATATATCATTTACAGCCTCTGCTTTTTTTCTAATAATTTGACAATAACATTTTCAACTGTAAAAAAACACACATTTATTTCACATTTTTAAACATTTGAATTTCGTACTTTTTTCATGGGATATAAAAATACATGAGATAAACGTGGTGGGTGAGTGTTTCTGAATAAGGCGTTTTCTTCTTCACTGACAGACTATATGATGAGCTACACGAATAAAGACCTCCTTGCATTATCTCTTCCAGACAACCCTTGCAGCCATGCCCAACTTGTTGTCCTACACGATGGTTCTCTTCGAAATCTTCGTACGTGATGTCATTCGAAGGTCTCCACGGATAATGTCCGATCCACCCCCATTTACTTATGCACATTTGATGGCCTACACGTTCATGGATAATTCCCTAAGAGAGTTTCATGTTGCCTAAGCTTTACGAAGCCAGCTGAGAGCAGTCCTCCAATGAAAGCAGGAATTTTCAATTCGACCAAGCTACTGAAGTTCGAGGGAGCTGCAAAACCAGATACAATATCCCTACCCTCCAAGAACCACTGAAAACAGACCTTGAGAATGCAGCAAGTACGCTGATGACATTATTGCAGAAGGGTTGGAAGGAAGGAATCGTGTCTACTGATTGGAAGAACAGCTACTTCGTCAAGTTAATAAAGAAGGGCTACTTATGGCTCTGCAAGAAATCGAATGGAATCATGCTCTTGCCCACACCAAGTATTAATAATAAGACGCATCATTCTGGAGGGAATAAAAGATGCACTGGACGCAGAGCCCCATCCACCAGAACAAGATAGATTCAGGAAAGGCAATTCATGTGCTCATCAAATTGCAACTACATGCATCACCATCACAGAACAAAGCATAGAATGGCAGTCAAATATCTCTCTACCTCAACTTCCTTCATAGACTTCGAAAATGCCTTCGACAGACAGCGTTGTCCGAGAAGTAATTTGGAAACAACTTTAACACTATGGAGTCTCATTCAACAGTTGGCTGTCTAAAAGTGCCACGTGTCAGGTGATCCACAACAAGAAACTCAACGAGACGATCGGAGTGTATACAGGAGTAAAACAAGGCTGTCCACTGCTATGACGGAAGATATTCCTTATTGTGGTGAACTGGATTATGCGCCAGACTGCGCACTGGGAGCTAGAAGACAGGAATACACTGCACTAACCGATAAGAAGACTACAGAAGGTCTGGATTTCACAGATGATTTATGTCTGATGGCACACGAACTGGAAGACTCACAGGTGAAAACCAACAAACTGACTGAAGAGGCAAGGCAGTCACCGAGGATAAGGCACCATGTGAACGTAGAGAAGACGGAGGTGATGGAAACAATCAACCAACCAACAGCAACAACAACAGCCAGCACCAGTCATCATCAACAGGACAGATTTGACATTGGTCACTTCCTTCACTTATTAAGGCCAGAAGCATCCTTTCAACCACGGCACCGATGAAGATGTCAAAACCCGTCAGAATCAGACCATTGGGATCCACTCTATTATATGAGAGGACTAACACTCGCCGACAACATTGGCTGCGGTCACGTTAAAATCACTAATTGGTATAGATTAGAATTCAGGTCCTGGGTTCAAGCTCCGGTGGGTGTGTACTTTTGAGGAGTCACAAACTATGGTAAAACAGCTGTCCAGTACTTCGGTATTGTCTGTTGGTTTTCAATGGTTCTCTAAGTGACATAAATCCGTGATGTAACATGAGACTTCTAGACTTTTTACATGTTTACAGTGGAGACATTTCAGGGACAAATTTAAGTTATTTAGACACCTGCCCACTTACTTATATAACTTATAGATAGTATCTACTTATCAATAATTTAATATGACTGTTGCATCTTTTTACTACATAAGGCAGACAAATTTTCGAAACTCCTTCGGATATTCGATTCACCACGAATTAATCATCCCCTCACTTTTATTTGAATAACTAGGTACTTAAAACCCTGCAACTTGACCGTGGTAACGTCTCTGACTGCAGCACTGGGTGACGCGGGTTCGAATCTCAGAAGGGACATGAATTCCTTCAAGGCAGTTGCAGATATGCCTTGCTGCTGGGTGAGTGCCAACTAGCACGAAACCTAGGTGGAAGGCTTCCTGTGGCCCATTGCACAGTAATGGCGAGCAACCTAGAATGGTGGCCACATTGCAAACCTGACTGATAGAATTCAGTCTGCACCGAAGATAGAACTAGACACATAACATTAGTTATTGACTAGTGTCCAGTCAAAAATATCTCTACCTGTCAGTTTCTTAGCAGCAATTAACTTTAAATTCTCTTATAAATTCACAGAAAAAAAAGATGAATAAAACGTCTGAAATATTGGGGATTGTCACTTAACTACTTAAAATATTATAAGTAACATTCGCACTAAAAACGAAATTCTCAAGTGTTAGTTTGTATGGACGTGATTCGTTCCAAGTTTCATCGCCGATTAATTAGAGTCATTGTAAAGCAGAGAGTACTGAGTAGCTGTTTTCTCCCACTTTGAGATCCTTCAGCAGCTTGCACTGATAGCTTTGGATTTTACAATAGATAACAGTGAGGAGAATTTGGAGGACATCTTGAACTTCTTCAAAAACTGCTATGCAGCATTTCACTTCACACTAGAGAAGGAATCCGACATAAATATTTCTTTTCTGGACATTCAATTAACAAGAAGTGAACAAGATGGAACACTAAAAAGATTCATCTATAGAAGTTGACATGGGACGTACAATTCACTAACTTTCATAGTCGGGTGCCTATATATACGAAAGGTAACCTGATCCGTCCCCTAAGCCATAGAATCTGCAGAATCTGCAACCCTGACACTATGTATGAGGAGCTGAACACTCTCATCGAAAATGGCTATCCAGAACGTTTCATCATGAAATCCATGAAGTCTCAACAACTTAAACTGCCTACACTTTTTGTCTTCGAAAAGGTTCTGCGTTTGAATCTACAATTCAACGATGACTCATCAGCAGGAATACTGAAAAACTGTCCATTCCGCTTAATGAAGATAAACTTCATTGTGATCTAACTCCCGCTAACTTACTCTACGAAACCAATAATTTGCATGAACGTGAAGGATAAACTACCGCTATTGGTTAGCCTCATCAGTGTGCATCTAACAATTCACCTGCTCATGTGGAGCTAGCTAGGTATGTCGGCCGTACCCAGCGTTTACTATTAAAACACATATCCTCATGGTTCTATACGTGAGAAAAAAGATCCCCCACCACAGCTCTATCCTGGAACACCTGATAGAATCTGGACACCAAGCTAACTCACATAAGAACTTCAAAGTTATCTACAGAATACATGAGGATCTCTCTAAAAAGATTACGAATCAATTTTCTTCAAACAGCAGGGGCAATGGCAATTCACATGTTAAATCCAGAATCCTGCATACAAAAGAGGAAGTTTGTTCAGTCATTAAATCTACAATCGGTCTGATCTATGTTAACGCCGAATATGTAATTTTTTTATTTGTTTCTTAATTGTGTAATATTTTCGTCCCCCACCCCTAATTATATCTCTACCCCTCATTGCGACTTGATCTTCGTTTAATTCCAGTTGAATTCTACTCAACACCGTCAATTAAAAATCCTCACTCAATTTACTTAATTTTATTTAAGTTTCTACCCTATTAACTATTTACACGTTACGTGGTTTGTAGAGAAAAATTTAGAATTCTAATGACAGATCTTCGCAGATATTCCTTTTACTGCTAAGGCAATTTACTATGTATATATGCGATTATACAGCTTGAGAATGATATTGCCGGAAAGAGTAACTCTTCACTGAACGCCTTTTCTTTTATATGATGGACATCAGGTCACTATTAATTATTATTATTGTTTCCTTTAGTTCCTAGAGGAACATAGGGCTTCAGCCTCACGTCTCCATTGAGCCTGGTTCTCTGCCAACGTCTTCATAGCCCGGCTCCGCATCTGCTCACATGCTTAAATCTCCTATTCACATCACCTTGTGCATGTAACCCCGCCATCACACTGACGACCAACCAGCCGCTTTCCGTTAGGGTCCCAATCGAGCGATGGCCTGGCATGTGATGTCAATCACTGGGTGGTTTGCTTTCTCAGAGTATGGCTTCAATCCACCTCCATTTCTTCCTGCATATTTCTTGCACAACTGATTCCTACTGGGTTGGTTCGCTCATTGCCAGAGATCAATCCCTGTTGCTGATCTTTTCTGGCTGTTTATGTGATCTTGAGTAGTGTTGAGCGAAGACAGCAGTTGTTGATGAAGGTCTGTAGTTTATTTGAAGTGGCCTTTGTGACACGGCGCCAAGTCTCTGATCCGTATAGTGGCATTGATTTCACTTTGCAGTTGAAAATCTGGATAATATTTTCATTTTCATGCTGAATGCTGTTGATCTCCACACAGACTTGGGGGAAATGAAAGCTTGCTTTGCTTTCCTGATTCTCGCTTTGATATCCTCGCCAGTTCCGTACTCCTGCAAATGAATCGATGTTTCCCACGTAGGTAGGTAGGTGAAGGAGGTTACTTCTTCCATATTTCTCCCATTTATGCTGATTATTGTCTGTTGTTGTTACCGTTGCTGTTGGCCAGGAACCCGGTGATAGCGCTTATCCCGATACATGAGATAACCATCCCTGAGTGGTGTCCTTGGTTCACAAAATGTACTCCTGAACCGTTTTATAATTGGTATTGGACCAAATGTCGGGTATTTCTTGAAAGAGAAAAAGAGAAGATATCATAATTGTGGATTGATTTGCTCTTCAGGTCATACGATTGATCTACTGTCAAGTAATTTTTTTATTTGAAGATCCTGAACGAAGGAAAAATATCACGTAAATTCTGTACATTTTATAAACACTTTTCAGAAAAAACCTATTATTCAAGTATTGGTTTGTAGGAATTTGATTGATTAGTTACAAGGCTTCATCATGAACTGACATAAGTAAGAGAACCGTTGGAAACCAGCTGTCCAGTACTCTGAGTTGTTTTTCCAATGGTTCTCTAACTGATGTCAGCTCATGATGAAGCCTTGTAACCAATCAATCAAATCCCTACAAACCAATACCTAAATATCAACGAGATGCTCCCTAGCAACTGGCCCTATTCAGGTAGGTAGTCACCTGGAGTTATAGTGGTAAGTCTTGACCAGTAGGGTGCAACAAGTCGGGTTTGAAGACAAATACCCACTGAAGACATTGGTTAGTGATTGCGCTGTGTCGTGAATTGGTAGAAGCTGGAATTCCTAAGCCATTGAATCGGGTCTGTAACAACAGAAGACAAGGGCCAGGCAACAGATCGTTTATTACGAAAAATCAACACGTATTTATAGATTTTTATGTACATTATTGTAGGTCAATGTTAGTAGAAAATACAGTCTGTTGATTGGTTGTTTCTCACACAAAGTTAACCTTGCATCTCTTGTGGCTGTGTCAGTTCATCTATATGTTAACTGTAACCGCCTGTCCACCTTGACCTTTGACCTCAATTACTGTCAACCAATTTGGCCAGCAACCATCTCTCACCACAACATGACTAATATTTGATACATAAACATTGACCTTAATTACTGTCCACCACTTGGCTAGTAGACAGCTCTCACCACAGGTCTCTTTGGCGTAATGGTCTACAAGCTCGTCTTGTCATGGGAAGTCCCTGGGTTCGAACCCTGGTGGGTGCGTACTACTAAAGAGTCCCAAACTAGGCTGACGAAATAGCTGGCTGTCCAGTACTCCCTAGCTAGTTTTCCAATGGTTCTCTGACCGATGTCAGCTCATGATAATGAAGTCCTATGCTGCTCCACCTGGTTGAAAATGCAGTCGTCGAGTTGAGAAATATTTCTTCGCGGGAGACATAAACTGCTGTTTATTCCTTAGGAAAATAAACATAAAAATAACCAAAACAAACAGTGTGACTTACCAGCATACGACCGCGGTACCATATCCCCGTAACCAACTGTAGTCATTGTTACTATAGCCCACCAGAGACCAATTGGTATCGATGTGAAATCATTATTTGGATTAGTACTCAATCGTTCAGCATAATAAATCAATGCAGCAAATAAGACAATAAATACACCCAAGAAAAAAATCAATAATGAAAATTCTTTAGCGCTTGCTTTAAAAGTCAGTATTAATATTTTTAAACCAGATATATGCCTAGTCAACTTGAACAGTCGCATAACACGTACAATACTAAAAAATTCTACAATTGGTGATATAGATATCTCGATAGCATTATAACTTAGTAGTAAGGCTTCAGTATAAAAGCTCAACAGAGCAGCAATATCAATCAGGTTGATTAAATTCTTGACAAATTCTCTATGATCCATTGAAACGGTGAAACGGACAATTAACTCCAATGTGAACCATAGATTACAGATACATTCTATGTAAATGAATATTATACTCTTTTTGGGTCGTTTATCTGTTATAATTGAGTATTCATGCTGGGAGGAATAATTGCGTTGCTTATGCGATAACGATGCATTTGTTACGGCATACTGTTGTTGTTGTTGTTCTTGATGCTTGTATAGCTTGTCCTCGGGGTAGGTGGTTGAAAATGACGTGAATTTGTCGTTAGGATTATTATTTATATTTATATTGTTTGCATTCCCATTAATTTCGGCGGTGACCAGTGAAGGCGTAAGAAATGTTGGCGCTGTATCCAAGCAGTATGCGAGTATAGACAGTATGATACAGGTGACGGATAGGAGAGCGATGAACTGAAATAAACGTGAAGAAAAAGAATGGAAGAAATAAATAAAGAAGCATGAGTAATAGTCATTTTGGGGTGAAAAATGACACTCGTGATATAGTGAGTTTGAAAATACTCCCAATTACAGCTTTAGAAAACAGAATGAATTGAGCTAACAAATATCAATTACTTCCTCATAATCGGCTTGTAACGACAGAAGACAAGGGTCAGGCAGTAGATCGTTTGTTGAGAAAATCAAGAGATATTTATGTATTTTTTATGTACATTATTATTCGTTATTGTTAGCAGAGAAGCAAAGTCTTCTGATTGGTTGTTTTCCTGCTGAAATTTATTCCACCATCTCTTTGTGGCCATTTCTTTTAAGGTCAGACCATATATCTGCGAATCATATCCGCCCACGCTTAGTCTACTGTGATTAGTTGTTGAGTTAGTCTTTGTTCTTGTTTTTTTCTCATGACCCTGATTTGCGACACAAATATTGATGTCAATTGTTGTCTACCAATTTTGGCTTGCAGACAGCTCTCACCACACCCTAATGATGAAATGAACCATTGTAATTTCAGGTAGTTTGCAGCTGATGAGAACCTGTGAAATAGAATGATATCATTTTATACTGCAAATCTGGTCTTTCTTTCTCTATCGAAATGAACTTTGTTAAGTATGCCGATGATCTAACTATTTCAATGTCTGTTAACTCCCAGCTTAACTGCACTAAGATAAACAACTTTCTATCAGGAATTAGCAAATGGTCTTCGTCAAACGGCCTTAAACTGAATCCTTCCAAATGTCAGACTGTTAATTTCAGTTTCCGATGTAAACGAAAGTGAAATGAAGCCTTTGGTTCCTATGACCCTTGCAAAATCGGTGATACTGATATAGAAACCCAGTCTGAAGTTAAGTATCTTGGAGTAGTTCTCACTTCTGACCTATCTTGGTCTTCTCATGTCTTAGCGATTTCTCAAAGAATATTTCGTCTGACTTTTTACATTAAGAAGTTGAGGCACTCAGGCATAACTCAACCACTCCTCTCACAGTTTGTCAACTGGTGTATTTTACCTATTCTTGTTTACTGTTCACCCTTATTCTTTCCTGGATTGCTTAAAAAAGACTATGTCATACTTCGTAGAAATCTAAAGAATGTCAGTAAGGCGAGTGGTATCCCATTGGGCCATATCGTTGACATTGTCACTGATAGGCACTTGATGTCATGCAACAAATTCGCCAGAGGAATTTTGTCAGACTCTGAGCACCCACTCTACTCGCAGCTCCAGCTTTGTGTCTCCTCAGGTAAAACAAGAAGTCTTTTCAGAAGAAATTATGCACGTACGTCTAAGTACAAAAATTCCACTATACCATATTTAGCACGTACTTTGTGTGATGAAAGTAGTGTGAGACATGAACTTACTAACCTTCTTAGTACCACTAAATAAACCATTTCCTCCACTCTTATAACATCTAGCTTTATTGTGATTGTTTTCTTAGTTTTATAATCCTCTAATTTTTTATTTTTATTTATTTTTTTCATAAGTGTGAATCATCATTTAAGCTGTGTTATAACTGTTAATTTCACCTTTCCCCTCCCAATACTATATAAACAGAACATTGGACTCAATGCCTCTATAACATGCTAAAATTTCCAAACTGAATAGACAATACTGTTTGAAACAAACTCACTGTTATTATTATTATTATGTTCAATATTCTCATTTTGTACCTTGAATATTTTTGACTTTATACCGTAAATGTGGACAAATTCCTCCGATTAATTTTATTTTAATTTTTAATTTTATTTATATTTTGAGTAAATCAGATGCAATATTGTGGCAAATGCTGAGAATTCCATTCTGTATTATAAGTAAGGCTTTCGGAATAAAGTAGATTATTATTATTACTATATATGTTTTGAGTCGTAATTGTACCATTCGTGTGGTTAGTCAATCAGATATCTATATTTTTAGGAAGGGGTCAAAAATAACCATGAAATTTAAGATCAGTTGAATCATGGAGGTGAGATTTTGTCGCAACGTCTGAGAATTGTCTTCTAAAGGGCATTATAGCGCAACTACGTTATTCTGTTAATTCACTAGTCAATTAATCAATAATCAGGTCAAGAAATAAAGAAATAAAACTGCCTTGTTTAGCTAGTCTTCCATGTGTATTTACCAGTTTAACTGCCTGTGTGGAACTAGTTATAGTGAGCAGATGATCAAGTAAGTTCATTGTCGAATTTCTGAACAACTCTCATCTTGGTTTAGCAAAGGTCCGAATAAAGCTGCTGTACGCAGCCCAATACTAGCTAATCTCGTCGATACGAGATGAACATCAAGTTGACTCTAACGTATATCACCCAACCTCTGGCTGTATGGTCTACGAGTACAACTTTTGCATACAACAGAGGCAATCGAATCTTCATCTGAACAAGTTGAATCTCTGTGTACAAAAGAAATTCGTGTGTTGTCTCTTTACCTGCAATGGTCAATTAGATAATGTGTATCAAGGTTTACAAATAATTTTCCCTTCCCCTTGTAACTATCATCTGACTTTGTTATTTTATTATGGTTACAAATCTAGCTAATTTAATTAACTTCTTTGTATCTTGGTGTTGTTAAGCAAGACGAAAATAAAAAGAAGTTATTAATATTGCTTACGTCATTATCAAAATGTTTCGAAAAATGTGATGAATAATCAAAAAGAAACTAGGTGGGTGAAGATTAGTAGGTATGGACAAGGGTTACATATTACGAAAGACATTCGGAAAAATAGGATGATAATATAAGAGCATGGAGACAAGTGCCCAAAATAAATCACGTAATAACCCTCTCTATTTATATCTCTCTCTCTCAACTTCATTGAATTTGAAAAGGCCTTAGACAGCGTCGATCGAGAGGTGATTTGGAAACTACTTCGCTACTACAGGGTGCCGCCAACAATTAAAAATCTCATCCAACATTTGTACGGTACTGCTGCATGCCAAGTGATCCACAACGGGGAAACTCACGGGTTCCTCGGAAGTGAAGACGGGAGTAAGACAAGCTGGTTGCCTAATATCTCAAATGATTTTCCTGAATGAGGGCGGTAGACTGGATAATGCGACAGACACACAGCGGCCAACCAGGAGACAGGCATAAAATAGACCTGATGTGATATATCTGTCTGATTTCCCACAAATTGGAAGGTATGCAAGTGAAAAGCAACAAGTTAGCGACAGAAGATGCATCCAGAGAAGATAGGTCTTCAGGTGAAGATAGAGAAAACAGATATAGGTGATGAAGATTCCTCTCCAACAGCAACAGCAACAACTACAACAGAGAACAAACAGCATAAATAGGAGAAATCTGAAAGCAACCTCCTTCACCTACCTACCTACCTACCTGTGAAGCATCATTTCAACTACAGGCGGACAGAACTGACGTGGATATCAAAGTGAGGATCAGGATAGTAAAGCAAGCTTTCAATTCTCTCAAGTCTGTGTGGAGATCAACGCAAAGCACTTAGGAAGAAAAGCAAAATAAGAATCGGATTTTCAACTCCAATGTGAAATCAGTGCTAATTTATAGGTCAGATACTTGACGCATCATGAAGAGCACTTCAAACAAACTACAGACCTTCATCAACAGCTGTCTTCACTCACTACTACTCAAGATCACATGGCTGGCCAGGAAAAATCAGCAACAGGGATTGATCCCTGGCAATGAGCGAACCAACACAACAGGAACCACTTGTGCAAGAAATATGCAAGAAGAAATGGAGGTGGATTAGCCATACTCTGAGGAAACCACCAGATGACATCACAAGACACGCCCTTAAGTGGAACCAGAATAAGATTCGGTGAGTTGGTCGTCTTTGTGAGGGTGACATGGAGTAGGAGGTTATGTGAAGAGAGGATGAAAGCATGTGGCCAGAAATGGAGCCAGGTGAAAACGTTGTCGGAGAACCAAACGTGATGGAGACGTGTGGCTTAAGCCCTATGTTCCTCTAGGAACTAAAGGAAACAGTAATAATAATACCAAAAGAATGATTACTGAATAAAGAATATTCTTTTCGATAACCTCTTCTTCATCAGGTTCCACAGTTATGGGCATCCATAATAATGAAAGAATGATTGTTATTGACAACATTGGTGGTTGGTTTTAAAGAAGAGAGTAACATCGATTCATTTAGATCAGAATTCAAGAAGTTATTTGCAAACAGATTGTTAATAGATCGTTGTCCAAAATATATCTATGTGGTAATCTGAAAAATTGTAGTTATAATGCTAAACTGAACACCAATATTACAAAGTAAATGATTATGAGTGACAACGAATGTACAGTAATTAATTCCCGTGAGTCATGTTTTTCATTTCGATTTTCCCGTGGATTGATTTGATCGAAGTGTTCGTTCTCGGGTTGACGTGCCGGCTCCTTGTGCAGATGCTTCGTGGATGTCTGGTCATGTAACTTGAGGTCAGTCGGTGGATGGTGGCTGGTAGTAGAATCCAGGATGCGCATTTCATCATGAAACAGAGCACTTCGTTCCAATAAATCGATGAGAAAATCTAAATTTAATTAAATGATTAATAAGACCCATCGCACAAGAGGTGGCTGTCATGGCCCAAGTGGTTTAGTGGATAACGCTTTGGCGTTTGAAACTACGGCCAGTGGGTTCGAGTCCTGGTGAGGACACCGTCGCTTACTGGGTAGTGCAGGTATGTCCAGATGACAAGTCATAAATAGGACGAAACGCGCATCCTCGATCCCAACAACTGCTGGTCACTATCGACCAATTGACATTTATGTTTTGTTCAAGTACTTGAATTCCTGCGGTAGTATATATCTTCATTGAGTGAAATTTCATTACAAGGTGATATTGATTACATGTTAAATCAAAGTGGCTATCTTTAAGCTACTACGCTTAGTGCATAACATAGGTGCTTCGTAACGTAAATGTCATGGTTGAAAGGATATTGACAAGTGCAAGGTATGGTGAAAATCTAGACTATTGTTCTCTAGTTTTGTGTAATTCGATTGCTGACATCATTCCCGGATGAAATTAACTTGCCTTGTAATAAAATTCAGCATTCTTTCGAATCGATAGTCTCTATAAACTCAAAGTAGTCAGTCGCACACAGTACAGTAAACACACAAGTGGTTGAAATATCAATCGATGCATTCTCTGTGTTAATTCTTTACCTGCACAGGATTTACCTGTGTTCATTGCTGGTTCATATGGTTTGGGTTCAATTCCATGCTGACCCACTCTTAAACCTCGCCTAGTCATTAGTGAGTCTCGTAAAGAGCGAAGGTCGGGTATGAGGTCAGAAACCCCACATCGCAGAAAAGCACAAGCTCTTCTGGAACTTAAAGTTAAATGCCAGAATCCCTGTGTTCCAGTTGTAAAAGAAGGGGATGGCGTTACATGATCAATGACAGCAGAAAGAAATTCATTAAATGACAACATCCCTTTACGAAATACGGTAATAAGATTATTCTCCTATAACTGGTTTGTAAGAGTTAGTTTTGCTTTAACGAGTTGATCACGGATTGATATCGGTTAGAGAACCAGTGAAAACCAGCGCTGGATTACTGGACAGCTGTTTCATCAGCCTAGTTTGGGAATCATCGGCAGTACGCACCCACTGGGATTCGAACCGAGGAGCTTTCAGTTACCATTCAGCCACTAGGACCCCATTCAATGGCTCATGAATTCTAACTTCTACCAATTGAATCAGGTCCCAGTGGCTGAATGGTATATGAGCTTACCTTGTAACTGAAAGGTCCTGGGTTCGAACCCTGGCAGTGGGTGCATACTGCCGATGATTCCCAAACTAGGCTGATGAAACAGCTGTCCAGTACTCCCTGTGTCTGGTTTTCAATGGTTCTCTAACTGATATCAATCCGTGATCAACTCGTAAAAATAAGATTATTTACTCACCTTAGCTCCAATTGACGAATGCGGTAGCTCAAATAATGCCCATACTTTAGGTCGATATTTTTGCCATGTATTCAATTCATTACAGGTATATTCTTCTTCTAAACCGAAACGTTTATATAAACTCTCCGGAGTGTAATCGTCATTATCCATGTCAACTTTATCTAAAATTTGTAAAGTTGCCTGTGTATCACGATGTGCTGTATACGTCATCCAACAACATGGTTCAACCTAAATGTAATAAAAAATTAAAGAAACAAAAGAACGTAACAAGTAGTTCAGTGAAGGGACTCGTTTTCAACGATTCCATTTTCTTATTTTACTGTACAATATCATTTATATACAATTTCTTTTCACTAAACATGGGCGTAAGAAGAGTGATGCGTTATCGTAATCATATTTAGATAAAACAATAAGAAGATGTAATTAGAAAGTTTAAACCATCTTTATGTGTTCAAAAACAAATTGTCATCACACTAAACCTTCTTTGGTAAATTTTGTTTTGATAACATAGCAGATGTAGCATTACCTATCTTTTGTAAAAAATTATATTTGTAAAATCTCAGCGAGATTTAAATGAGTTATTCCAACATTTCTTGTGTTCGGCAATCTGGTCCGAACTTCTTCAGGGAAATTAATCGAAATTAACATAACAGAGTTTTATATATAAAAGGAACATCACTTGTTTTTAAAAACTTTGTCCAATCATGAATCATTCAACAAGTACCAACAAGTATAAAAAACAAAATTTTATGAGCCGTGATCAAAATTTGACCTCGGACTTACAAATATTGGTCTACCTTTGTTAAGCACTTTAAACAGAGTGTGTATGTGTGTGTGGGTAAATAGTTGTAAAACATCTGTTAAGGTCTCCATAAGAAGATATAGACAATCGGGAATTTTGACCAAGTATTAATAATTAGTGATACATATCCATTTTTTATTTATTAATATGGATTTCCTATGCATCAGCTAACATCACGCCTTCATGTCCGTTCAAACTGTTAGTATCTAGAATTTTATGGTTAGACGTATTTTCAAAATTATGGTGTTTAGGATTAGAGTTTAGTAGAAGCACCCTGTCGGACTTATTGCTTTGTCTTCTTTCTGAAGATTGAGCTGCTTTATTCGACCTACTGGAGTTGTCAGGTGACTCGACAGCTACGGATTTAGGATATGCATTCTGTTGCAGACAACGGAGAGTGAAAACACGATGATTGTGCCAGTTACACAGTTTCTTTGTTAATTTAATTCGATTGCAAAATAATTCAAATGAACTGTCGTCAAGATTTGATAGAATAATTCTATCTTATTTCGTTTAGTGGTCTTCATTGTTATTTCGACTTTGAATATGTCCTTTTAACTTGAGCTAAGTCTATTTTCTCATCTCTTAACTCTTTATTAATTTCATATATACACATTCCTATGACAAGTCCGTGTGTGGTGGATCAGATTGTACGAAATGTGTTGCGCAAATACAACATTACACGATTCAGACAGACAAATTACGTCTTCTTATTGCTTTATCTAAATTCATAAAGGGAACTAATTGTTTTAAAATGTTTTAAAGAGAAGGCTCCCTCCACACACACTATCAAAAGGTTAAATAAACTTGTTAACCTTAGGTGTAAAATGTTTTATCGTCGAACGTGGCACATTGGAATTTCATAAATTATGTATTAAAAATCATTCCTTCTCGAGGCAATTTTATAAAACTTTGAAATTCAGTAAATTACAACCAAATATCTCTAATATTGTTCGAAAATGTTAGACAAACGTTACAAGGACTACTTGTTCTTTATACCGATGCGTCACTTATTTTATCTGAATTATCACTAATATACGGCATGAAATTCCTACAGTTTTGTAAAGATGTTACTCAGAAAACAAAGACAAATATACAAAATAAGTTGAAGAGTTCAGTTGATGATCGTAACCGCGTAGATCTGGTTTTCCGGTGAATCCTGATAAGTATGTTACAAATCTGTCTGATATTATATATGTCCAAACCAAGTTCACTTTTAACGGTTTGAAAAAATTTGGGTCTTCTTAGACGAGCACACTCTCTGATAACCGACGAGAAAGAAAAAGAAGAAGAAATATCAAACATTACTGAAACTCTCAAGCAAAACAACTACCCATGGAACTTCATCAACAAAATCAACACAGACAATAAGTATGGCCGAAAACGCATCCCGAAAACATGGACATCAACAGTCGTCATTCCATATAGAGAAGAGACGTCAGACGATATCAGAAGAGTACTCAATCAGCTCGATATTAGAGTTTCCTTCAAAACATCAGACACACTTCAAAGCAACCTTGTCCATATAAAAGACCAAATCCCTAAAGATTCGCTATCTAATTGTGTCTATAAAATAAAATGCTTGGAATGTGATGCGATATACATCCGACAATAATCGCTAGAGAGAAATCAAAATCAGAAGAAATGAACACCGTAGAGCATCTCTTCGACCACCGAAGAATCCTACTGAACTACAAAGACCTGAAAAATCATCAGCCATAGGTCTACATGCTATAGAATCAGGCCACAAAATTGATTTTGACAATGTTGAAATAATCCAGAAAAACTTCAGAAATCACAAAGAACGTTTAATATCAGAAGCACTTCATATCAAGTGGAATCAAAATTGCCTGAATAGGAATGATGGACTAAAACAGAATCTGACCTGGTTACAACACCTCCCTCCCCCCCATCAAGTGACAAAACCAACACAAATGTGATAAGCACTTTCATTATGTAAACATACGCTGCTTTTATAATCTTATACACTTATCAAATCCAACAATCTACACATGATGATTTTGTTATCTTTACCAAATGACCAACTTGACAACGAAAAATGTCCCCAGACTAACGAACGATGATCAAGTTAGTAAACTTTATTTTGATACCATAACAGATGTACTATTACTTTTGTTATTTAGTTTAGTGATCTTCATTGGTATTTTAACTTTCAATATGTCCTTTTAACTTGACCTAAGTCTATTTTCTCACCCCTTAACTCTTTGTTATATATGTGCTGAGATTTTGTAAATTCCGGTTTAATAATACTTTGATAAAGCTATTAGCATTAAATAGCGAAACGCCAGTGAAAACAATATCTTTTTGTTTTTCATTCATTGGGAAATACAAAAATCTGTCTGATATTACTCTATCTACTAATCAGAAAGAAGCTTTATCTCTTGGACTTAAATTTTGTGTTCCTCGCACGCACTTTACGGATTTAGCCATCCATGCTGAGTTTGAAAACATATATGACCAACTCAAAACTCTTGAGGCAACATCTGATGAAGATCGGGGTTGGTTTAAGGTCAAGATGTTGGATATAGCTCACCAGTTTTTTAAAAAACAATAGAAAGGAGAAAAGTATTTTAAATCCGCAGCATTTCAAGTCTTGGAAGAGCTATGGGAAAACAGTAATGTAGTTACTATGATACCTGATAACGGGCCTGGAGTCGTCATTATGAATACAAGTGACTACAAATCTAAAATGATGTCTATTCCTGGTGATAAAAGCAACGTCAGCCATGATCCCCCCAAAAGAAGATATGCAGTTGTTGCAGGGCACAGTGACCATGGCCTACACTGCATTACCTAGAGTTGACCAGATTTTACCTCACAACAAGAATAAAGTACATTTTACAAGTCACCTAGAGAAACACTGGAGATTAAATGTAGTAGATATTTCATCTTATTCCTGTGTCAGACCTGTGATTTGACCCATTTTTATCGTCATTTTTCTAAAGTCGTATACGTCAGTGAACCAATTTGCAGAGAGACTTTATTCTTCTACGGACTGAACAGGAAAGATCCAGCGATAGATAAATTTGATGGTGAAATTTTGAAAGTCAACCGAGTGGAATAGTTGAATATCTGAACACTACTCGTTATGGTTGATTGAGGAAAGAAGAATCAAGTCTTCAATTTGTGAATACATCTTCCTGTCATTTATTCAGTCGAATCAGTGAGTGATCTGCACCTCCAAGTTATTCATGAGGCTAAATTTAATCAATTGAAACGTTTACGTTTTCATTATACCAAGTATTAGCGTGAACTACATATTTGAAAATATTTTCAGGTATAAAGCCTCCTCTGTTTTCATCTTTCCAGTTGATTTCATTCAATGTTGAATTGCTTTCGATTTCACTGCTTTTATCGACTCATAGTGATTTTAATATGCTGACATCATTTCACCCATTTTAAATGTCGTAATACCAATTTACTTCTTTTCTAATAAGGTTTTGTGAATCTACAGTTCATCAGTTTCACCTCTACCACTACTAAATAGTGTTAATTAATTTTACTGAACGAAGAATATTCTTTTCGATAACCTGCTGTTCACCATCTGGTTCTACAGTTGTATATACGAATAGTGTATGAATTAGTACTAATAATCACATTAGTATTGTTTAAATAACATCGAATCAATAATAATAATATCAACGGATTACAGTTCGACAGCATTAACATGGCGATACACACAGAATATCAGAAAAATTAGGAAGAGTAATGATACAAGTTCATGAATTTATATTCTCGACTGAAGGCCGGTCACGGCAGTAATAGTGGTTGAACTTGTTTCTTCTGCTTTGAAATTTACGTACAGAGAGGATACCCAAATTAGAATCGCCCTCCTAGATGTCCTCCTTACAAGAAAATCAGATGGTAGTATAAAGAGAAATTTGCATAGGAAAAGCACATGGACAGGACAATATACTCATTTTTATAGCTTTGTTGCTCTCTAGTATAAGAGACATTTAGTAAGGACCCTCAGCTATAGGGGTAGAACTGTATACTCAGAAGACGTTACTGAAGATGAAATAAGGATTGCCTATGATAACTTGATTGAAAATAGTTATCCAGACAAATTCATCAGGAAACATGTGACTAAGAAAGTTGACAAGGACTATCTGCTCTCGTTAAAGAAGAAGTCTTTGTACATACGAATGCCGTTAAAGGGCGATATACCCAGCGAAATGATCACGATGCAGTTAAGTTATTTAATTCTAAGAACTTTTAATGCCGGCGAACTCCAGGTCTTATTTTCTACACGTTCAGTGTTGATTCCTACCTATTCTTGTATCTACCAGTTCAAATGCGCTTGTAGAGCGGGTCATATTGGCTGTTGCTCTAGGAACTTAATTTAGTTTGCTCAGCAACATCTACCAGTATGGTTAAATAAAGGTGTCGTGTGAAGCGTCAATAG